TTGTCACATTATTGTTCCCTTGCCGGGATGTTTGTTTGATATTATTGATCCCTTGCCGGGACTTTTTTTTTTGATTGGTGTTGACAAAAAAATGGGAGCGGGTTGCACGCCTGCAATGGTAATATATGAAATGGGAGCGGGTTTGGGAGCGGGTTGCACGCCTGCAACGGTAATATATGAAATGGGAGCGGGTTGCACGCCTGCAACGAGATATATGAAATGGGAGCAGATTGCACGCCTGCAACAAGATATATGAAATGGGAGCGGGTTGCACGCCTGCAACGAGATATATGAAATGGGAGCAGATTGCACGCCTGCAACAAGATATATGAAATGGGAGCGGGTTGCACGCCTGCAACGAGATATATGAAATGGGATCGGGTTGCACGCCTGCAACAAGATGTGAAATGAAAGTGAATTCTGCATTTATTTTCCTTATCCTTGTCAATAATTGGATTTTGGTTTCCTTATATTCCTCTTAATATTCTGTTGTTATCTGTTATTCCCCGAAACATGTTTTCCCCCTCCTATCTTTAACTGTAATTATCTGCTTTTCTATTTCCGCTATATATGATATAATTGCACAGGTTTATTTGGTAGTCTGGTCCTAGCCTCGTCACTACTTCGCCGAGGTTGGGCTAGACACTTACCAGCACATGGGGTCGGTTGTGTTGATACTACACTCTGCACTGTGTGCAGATACTGATATCGAAGCGCTTGGACCGCAGTGAGGATGTTGTCGTCAGTCCACACAGGCGACCCGAAGTAGTCCTGCAGACGTTTGCGGGCCTTGGCGTCACCTCCTATCTTTCCTTTATCCTGTTTCCTTTACTTATTTCAGAAACAATGTCTTTCAGACTTTGTATGTAGTATTCTTAAACCGTTTGTGAAACTGTGACACCAAATTCTGGGTAGAGTTGTATTTAGACTTCCGCATTTTGTATTAAGATAAATTATCAGATTTTGTCTTCCGCTTAATTATTTCCGCTATTTGCCTGATATTTACTCATCACTGATAATGGTTTAAAACTGGAAAAGGTTAAGTAATTAGAATAATTTGGCTTGCCTAGCTTTCACCGGTAAATGTCATCACGTCTCTCGAGGGTGGGAAATTCTGGTAGTAACATTAAGTCATCCACATGAGAAACGCGTAGCCGTGTATTCTTTCATTAATTTTCTTAATGAAAAGAAACAAAAAGACTAAGTCGCCCTTTTAAACGAGGGAATTTGGTCAAAATATAGCAGCTTCATATGTCTTGAACTTTAAGGAAATCAGCGTTGAATGTGACATTTTTTAATTTTTATTTAGTGTCATTTTCATAAACTAATACTATGAGCTGCCAAGATGGAGTACTTTATATTAACCACTCATATTCAAGATTTGCTGCAATTTGAAAACTCCATTTGCTTTTTGCTATGGGAAAATTTTGGTAGATGTTGGGGTTTAAATTCTGGTGGTTGGGTAGTTAATGCATTGATTTGAGTATGTTGAGTTGTTTTGAGCTGCCAGAGGTGGTGAATAGTATATGTGTACTAAAGGGGAGTAAATTGTGCATATGGGGGTTGGTACTGCTGTTGGTAAGGGTGTTAAATGGGGTAGGTCTTAGGGGAGTAAAGTGCTCCGTTTCAATTTGTTTGAACGAATTTGAATGTGCACGGAGTTTAAGAAAAAAAAATTGAAATTTGTGGTCTAAAATAATCTGTAAATTATCTTATTAAGGGTAAAAGTGGAATTTTACAATTAAATTATTTTCAAATTTAAAAATAATTTGTTCTTTTTGAAACTGACTAAAAAAATAGATTCATTCTTTTGAAACGGATGGAGCATTTTTTTTGTTTCGTGACATGGTATAAATATAATACTCCTCCGTTCACTTTTACTTGTTCAGTATTCTAAAAATAGATTTTCACTTTTACTTGTCACTATTAGCATATCAAGAGAAGATAATTTCTTTCTTCTTGTTATACCCACAACATTAATTACTCATTTCAAATCATTTTCTCAAAATCATTAAAATATGCATCAATTAATATGGGTATCATGGTAAATTATGCACTTTATTTATTATTTTTTAAGGGACGTAAAAAGTCAAAACGTGCCAAGTAAAAGTAAACGGAGGGAGTACATTAATTTTAAAGAGTTCTGGTTGTAATATTTGCATTTTGCTATAATAGCTGAACATGGCTATTGGCTTGTGCTTAATAACAAAGAAGAAGTTCAAACAACTGGAAAAGTGCTGCTGATCGAGAAACATTACGTTACTAAATGGAGTACTGCTTATTAAGCAACACCTATAGATCATATAATCACCAAAGGTCAGGGTCGGATGTAGAGTAGCGAAAGCGAGTTCATCTGAACTCAGTATTTTTAACGCGAAACATAAATTTATATATAAAAATGTACTAAAATTGTCGCAAATGGTAGGTTTGAACCCTAAGTTTAAAGATACAATGAGTTCGATTTTAAAAATCGTAAAAATCGTAAAGGTTTAAACTCTGGATCCGCTACTGTCAAAGGTTGTGTAGGAGTGGTAATCCCCCATCTAGGTCTCGGGTTCGATCCCGGGTATAGAGCCATTTTTAGTAGGGAGCATTTTTTCCCCCAAAGTAGGATTTCCCGACGTGAATCCAGATTAGTACGTTGGACCCTAAAGTGCGTATCGGACACCGATGAAAACCAAAAGAAAAAAAAAAAAAAAAAAAAAAAAAAAAAAAAAGACCATATAAAGTCTTGCTAAGAAACAAACTTAAGGACAAAAATAGTTTGAATCTTCGCTAGCATTTGCACATAGAATTAGTTGAAATTTGAAAAAATGAATTTTTAAAGATGAGACAAAAAATAGTTTTTGAAACATGAAATTGTGTTTGAACATGCATTTTACTTGAAAAGAATTTGAAGTTTTGTGAGTAGAAAACTTCAAAAACTACTCTAGAGTTGTTTTTAGGATTTCAAGATTTTGTTTTCAAAATCTGTCAAAAATTGATTAAAATCTATAAACAAACAAATATTTGAAAATAAAATTTAAAAAAAAACTCCCAAATTTTATGGCCACAACATTTCAAGCTAACTGCAAAAGTACTGCTCAAGCAACATTATAATTTTACGAAACATTAGTAAGTACTTATTAAGTAACTCCAGCAGATCATATAAAGTGCTCACTAAATATATAAACATTGTTATGTGCCCCACTTGCACCCCCAATATAGGGGGCCTCCTTCCCTTGTACTTTTAAAACACATGGAAATACCTTTTTTTATTAATTCGCCTTCGTAAAAGAAACAGTCAAATTTGATAATTAATACAGTCAAATCTCTTTATAGCATTCTCATTTTTTGATTTTTTTGCTGCTTTAGTAAATTGCTATTATAAAAACATATAATTATAACATAACATGAAAATTTATTTCCAAAAAGAACTTGGCCGTTATCGGCAGAATATGGTTGTTATAAATTTCTTGAAAATTTCATACTAGGATTGTGCCTGGGAGAAATTTAAAAATAACCAGATTTACAACTGGTCATTCAAAAATAGTTCAGTTTCAAAAGTAATCGAAATTTAGCCATTTTTCATGTAAAGATAAATCTGAGCGAAAACACTGTTCAAAACCCGAAAAATAAGTCTGTATATTATACTGGAGTTCCAGCATAAGTATGCTTGAACTCCAGCATATTATACGAGAGTTCCAGGATAACTATGCTGGAACTCCAGCATAATATGTTGGAGTTCCAGCATAATTACACTAGAACTCCAGCATAATATACTGGAGTTCCAGCAAGTATAAATGTCCAGTATAATATACTGGAGTTTGGAGCACCGGTGCTCCAGTCTCCCATATATTATACAGGAGTCAGCAAAGTATACCGGTCCAGCATAATATGCTGGAGTTCGTACACAGATGCACCGAACTCCCGTATATTATGCGGGACCGGTCTCCGTTACAGCAAAATAGTGGCTATTTTTCATTGACTTCGTAAACGGTGGCTATTTTTGAATGACCAGTCCGAAAACTGATTATACCGTGCTATTTTAAGGAATTCCCAGAGGGGCCCTCTTTTGATTTCTAGATCCAATTTTTTGGGAAATTATTGGGAAAGGGACATTTTATACAAGATTATTTGGGTTGAGATATTTGGGTTTTGTGTAACTTGCTTAATTAGTCTGCGTTTGGCTCCTACATATGGCATGTGAGGCCACCTAAAGCATTTAATATGAGATGGTTTGCCACCTAATTAATTAATCCCACACCTAAAAATGCATTTTTCGACTTTAATTACTTTCTGAGAGACTAGACTTTAGTTAGTTGATTTTATTGAAATGCATTTTTCGACTTTAATTATTTTTTTAGAGACTAGACTTTAGTTAGTTAATTTTATTGAAGAAAAAAGGTCGATACATCACTATACTATGTAATTTCATCACAAGCATAGAAGATCAAATTTCGATTGTTGTGAAAGTTACTAAATGAATCTATTTTATTCTAATTTGATCTAAGAAGAAAAATCACGCAATGTAGAATTTGAATCAACGACATTGGGTTTTTGAGCCACACGTTCTACTGAACTGAATTAAGAGCGTTTCTTATCAGAATAAATTACACAAATGGTCGTTTGATTTTACTGTTTACTTTTTCTAGCCGGTATATACAGATTATACATTGATTATACATAATTATACACATATTATACATTTGACGACTATTTTTAGTTTAAATAATTGAGTGGACTATTATTTAGGTTAATTCAACAATATCTATTATCCTTTCTTCCAACTACAATAATTCGTTAGCTTATCTTCTTATCATGGGTAAAAATCTCTTCCGACACATGTAGGGAATAACCTAACCTTTTGCATTTATTAAAAAGGAAATGGAAAGTTGGCAAATGTAAATGACAAATTTTGACTATATTGTATTCATATATCATCAATTAATGGCACATTAATTGGGTGGGCAAAACTATTTTTTTCAGTACTCTTTAAATTGTGACCAATCTTGATGTACTTGGAAACTCATCATACTCCAAATATTATTTTTTCCCTCAATCTTTCTTGTTTTAGTCTTTCTCTTCTCTTCTCCACAAACAATGGCAGAAAATTCTCCAATTGGAGAAATCCATTCAAATCTGCCCAATTTTCTTCTTTCTGTTAGACTTAAATATGTAAAACTTGGTTACCATTACTTAATATCAAATGCAATTTATCTTTTCATTGTTCCAATTCTTGTTGCTATTGGACTTCATCTTTCAACTCTTACACTTGAAGATCTCATTACAAATCTAGCCATGTTGAAATCTTATTCAACACTTGTTGTTTTTTTAGCCACATTATATTTCATGAGTCGTCCAAGAAATGTATACTTAGTCGATTTCGCGTGCTATAAACCACATGAACGTTATATGATATCTAAAGAACGTTTAGTGGAGAAATTGGCTGGGATTTTTGATGAAGATAGCTTGAATTTTCAAAAGAAAATATTGGAAAGGTCAGGTTTAAGTGATAAGACTTATATACCAGTAGATAAATGGATTCCATCAAATTTTTCACTTAGTAGTAACCAACATCAAGCTAAATTGGTTATTGTTGGTGCTATAGACGATGTGTTGGCAAAAACAGGAGTGAAAATTCGAGAGATTGGGATTGTTATTGTTAATTCTAGTATGTTTAATCCAACACCTTCTCTTTCTGCAATGATTGTCAACCATTATAAGCTTGGAGTTAATGTGATTACTTATAATCTTGGTGGCATGGGTTGCAGTGCTGGACTTATTTCTGTGGACCTAGCTAATCGCCTTTTACAGGTTGGTATATCTCCTTTCACAATTAATAGCGAAAATAGTAGGGATTAACCAGTTTTCGAACTAGTAATTAAGAAATAGGCAATATTTGTAAAGTCATTGAAAAATAACTATTGTTTTTCTAAAACACGAAAGTTCCAGCATAATTTGCGGGATTATGGAGCTCCTGCATATAAACTTTCCAGTATATTATGTTGGAACTCCACCACGGAAAATTCCAGCATAATATGCTAGATTATGGAACTCCTCCATTTAAACTTCCCACATATTATGTTGGAACTCCAGCATATTATGAAATTCCAACATATTATACTGGAATCTCATACGTAAAAAATTCGAACTCTGGCATACTGTGTTTTTGTTCAGATTATATCTTTATATGAAAAAGTGGCTAAATTTCGATTATTTTTCAAACCATGGCTATTTTTCAATTACCAATTGTAAATCTGGCTATTTCTGATTTTTTCCCTTATTTTTCCTACATATATTATATACAATTATACATATATTATATATATCTATCTGTTATTTTTAGTTTAAGTAGTTGAGTAAACGGCTATTTAGGTTAATAGACTTACTCTCATATGGAAACATCTCTATGAAGGTTACAATAACACTTACCCTCAATTTTATTTTATATGGCCCTTGTTTTCTTTTTGTTTGTTCCAAAGAAGATCAATAATATATTTCAATATTTAGAAACTCTTCAACATTAAATTTTCATTTTACTTTTAGGTATGTTTTTGAAGGAAAATACTTTCCAAAAAATGTCTTCAAGTTCTTTAGCTATACAAGTTCTAAAAATATATACTTTTAGTATGTTATGAAATTTTTTCATTAAATTCCGTACCTAATCAAACGTCATCATTGAGATGCAACAAAAGGAGGATTGTCCCATTTTGATTGTCATCTTTCCCTTTTATATGCTTTTTAAGAAATCACAAATAAAAAGAATTTTTTGACAAGTTTACCCTTATCTCTCTTCAATAAATTGCTGATATATGAAATTACTGAATAGGGGCAAGCAAACACCTATGCACTTATTGTAAGTACAGAAGTAGTCTCAGCGGCCTTCTATACAGGGAAAGACAAATCAAAGCTAATACCAAATATGATTTTCCGGATGGGTGCATCTGCTATTCTCCTATCGAACCGTTTCTCCGATCGTTGGCGCTCAAAATATCAACTGATGCATGTTGTCCGCACCCATAAAGGTGCAGATGACAGAGCATTCGGTTGCGTCTACCAAGATGAGGAAGAGGATGGAAAAAAAGGCATGTCATTGTCTAAAGACTTAATGGCAGTAGCTGGTGAGGCCTTAAAAACAAATATTACAACTCTTGGCCCTCTAGTCCTCCCAATGTCCGAGCAGCTCCTCTTTTTCGCCTCTTTAGTCGCGAGAAATGTCCTTAAAAGGAAAATAAAACCATATATCCCCGATTTCAAGATGGCATTCGAGCATTTCTGCATTCATGCAGGGGGAAGGGCCGTGTTGGACGAGCTTCAGAAGAATCTTGATCTCTCAGAAGAACTTATGGAACCTTCAAGAATGACTCTTTATAGGTTCGGAAACACTTCAAGTAGCTCAGTGTGGTATAATTTGGCCTACTCTGAGGCCAAAGGGAGGATAAAGAAGGGTGACAGAGCATGGCAAATAGGGTTCGGCTCAGGATTCAAATGTAACAGTGCTGTTTGGCGCGCGCTAAGGACCATTGATGCAGCCATTGAAAAGAACGCGTGGACGGATGAGATTGAGGATTTCCCTGTTCAAATCCCATATTGATGATCAGTACTGAAACCATAAAACACATTCAAAATCACTCTAGTATATTTGTATATGGGATTGTGCACCTAATTTTGAACAAGCGAGGTATCTGGAATTACAAAATTTAAGTAAGATGGGGAGCACCAGTAGGTTGTTCGAATTTCTATTAATTTCATTACAAAATTTAGGTCAGATAGGTGACTTGAATTTCAGTATTTCTTTTTCAATGTTTACTTAGCTCATTCATGGGAAGAGAAAGGAGGGGAGAAAAAAAAAATGCAATGTTGAGATGAGTCACAGTAAAGTGGTTACTTACAACTTTGTGCTCAACTATTTGAGTAAATTTTTTTAAATCTCAACAATGGTCCTCTCTTTCTTTTTTTCTCTTTTATCTCTATTATTATTATAGGTTCACCAAAAAAACAAATGAGAGGTGTCATGTGATAATGCAAGAGAAGAGCAAGGTACACATGATATATTTAATATGGCTGGTGCTTCGAGATAGGACCACAAAGGGTATGGGTGCACCAATAGGGTTGGGTGGTTTGTCATAATGGAAAACTTCGAGCATACTATCCTTCCATACATGTAAACAGAGGCGAATCTAGAATTTAAAGTTTATGGATTCTTGTCGTAATCTCAAATTAATATACAATAATAATTAGGTTCACATTTAGCTATTTATAGATATTTAGTGAATTTTTTAATAGAAATATAGGGTCTACGCAAAAGTTATTGGGTTCCGAGGAACCCCTATGCTATACTCTAAATCCGCCACTGCATATAAATCTATCTATCAGATAGTCTACGAGCACGACTGAGGTGACTATACATACAAATCATTGACTATACATATAAATGTGGTTACAGATATGTATGCTGAGGCATTATACTGAGATCACGGTCTAATTCCAATGGTGGACCTACGTTAAAGGTACGCCAACAAGTAGGTTGACTTGGCACCCAATCTCAGTAGCAATATCATATTAAAAGTAGTTTAGCACCCATAATTTAAAAATTTTGGATCATGATTCCACAATTAAACCAACAGAGAAAGCACTGTAGTTTTAAATCTTATATGACTAAACTAGACTAGATTTCGAGGATGAGTAGTCGATAAAGAGTTATCTCGAGGTATACACACAGTCACAAACTGCTTCACGAGTTGGACTCGAACCAACATCTCTGATAGCGAACGACTTGCACAAGAGAACATTTCTGTTGCAAGCATGTCCTTGGCCTAACCACACTATAATTGGGAACAAACCAAACTCCTGTATCCAACGTTTGTTTGTAAGTTAATAAACAAATAGAACATTAAGTTCCTTATCACTCTCAATTGATCTCGACACAATCCTAATGCAGTGCTAGTTGTCAACCATCACTTAATGAAGTGATGACAATCTCAATGTCAGACTACAAGGACATGTGATTGGAATAATTCTAGCTTCGTTTATAGATAACCTAATATTAAGATAGAAGCTGACACCAGACAACCATATCAAAATGCAGATCAATAGTTGGGTTTGTACAAAGAGGTCCACACAAGGATGTTATAGTACTCATATTATGTCAGCCATGAGAATGGTCCTATTTAATGTTCAATAACTCCAATCCAGCTGTCGCCGCTTTCTATCTCTGGCGCTCTAAATATCGGGTATGATTGTTACTTTCTTGCCCTGTCCACTCCCCCCACCTCCAATCTAGTATGGACTTGATGTTTGATGGGGCTAGTGGAAAAATTTGTAATCATACCCATGCCATCCGTTGAAAAGTAACTCCATTGGTAGAAACTCGAGAAAGATAGTTCCTTGAGCAACTATTTCTAGAAATTAACTCTGTTCACGAGATACTGCCAGTGCGCCAAAGGTACAAAAGAGAATCATATCTATAATACGTAAAATAGCAATTTGTTGAGCTTACCTCTGTTTCATTATAGAGGGCTGTGTTATCACCACTTTTTGGATAGGAGCCATTGTTGTAATTTGTCCAAAGCACATGCATGCCAAAGTTCACTGCTGGCTTTCCAGTAGTTGGATAGCAACAACTTCGCTTTTGGTCACATTGTGCATGTGGCCACTGAGAACAAACATAACCTTAAAGTTAGAAAGTTTAAATGTGTCCTGAAAACTCCATTAACTTTTAACCCAAAAAAACATTCTTTCTATGAGGAACTAGCGATAAGTGGAAGACTTGCCAGCTGAACAAAGTAAAAAAAATCATAACTCTGAGACACAGAGGACAATCAAATTTTTCAATATAAAAATCTTGATCAGCATAGGGCGGCAGTATCTCATCCTTGTCTATAGATAAGGTTGTTATTGGAGTTAAAGATGGTGCTTAGCATCTAGAGACTAGGGCAATATTTACACATATGCAGGGGCGGACTCAGGCCTAAAATATGGGGCATGTGAATTGTGAATCCATGGTCTCAATATTATCTGTCGGCACCCATGCTCCAAAAAGGCTGAATGGTGCACTTGGTTCAAAGCTAAGTTATTTACCTAGAGGAACATGGATCAATTCTCACTTAATAGTTTTTCTTCCATGTTCTAGAAATCCTAGATTCACTGCACATATGCATGTAAAACAGGAATTATCAGGATCACCAGTGTGTGGATGGCAACAAATTACCAAACTTTGCATTATTAAAAATAGTTATTTTCATGTCCAAGGGGTAAAATAATGTGGAACACAAACTGCTAACATTAGTCTAACAGGATAATTTGGACAGCGAGCATGTGCCAAATGGAGCCATTTCTTGATTTGACTCCCCATCACAGAGAAGTATGGGAAGCATGCTAAATATTGCTAATACAGGTGAGGCATATGTTATGATAGAACCACATTTATTAGGAATTCTACACGGCAGTTCATAAAATTTAAGATGGCTAGTGGCCAGAATATCGTCAAGCAGGTTAGTGTAGAACAAGTTGTGTGGTCCTCTCTTTTCATGAAACATTGTTACCAAAACAAAAAAAGAGTCTGTGGTCCAAGACATATAATGGTCTCATCTCAATTAGGCCTTTGTTTGGAAAATAATGAAATTATGTACCAAATTGAAATACAGTATTTCAAGGATGTTGGTTCTACACTGAAATTTCATTTTCCATAATACAGGGGTATTAATGGATTCAATTTTAAGTTCTCTTCTTGAATTAGTACTGTTTAGTACTTCAGTTGATTACAAGAAAGAGTAGCTTCGCATGTAATTTATGGATTGAAATGATTAAAGAAACTGAGCAGAATATAATATATTAAAAAAAGCTAAAAAAAACTACTTATTTTTCAAACCTTGGGTTTGGCTTTACACCAAGATTCACAAGAAAATCTGTAAGAAAAGCTATTTTGATGGCTGATGAGAATACCCGGTCATCACAAGGAAACTCTGCATTTGCTCCTGTTGATGTTAAGATGGTTGATGTTAAGATGGTTGATGCTTGCTCTCTCTAGTGTGCATTCCATCAATTATGTAACCAAAAATACCCACCTGAACATTTTCCACCTTAAAATTGATGAAACATGTTAATGTGAAGGTGGTGGATATTTCCCGCTACAAGAGTGCGTATCGTTCATCTGTTACCAAAAATCCCCACAAGAACATTTTCCTCCTTCAAAATGATGAAACCTTTGCATATCTCTGATAATTAAATTTCGTTTAAAGATGAGCGATATGAGTTTTGCAGCTGAATGGCAGTCCCCACAGATTCTAAGGTTTTTAACAACGCGAATTGTTTTTCCAGGTGGACTATTAAGAAGAGCAAAAGTAATTGCCAATTTTTCACTGTGGTACCTCAGAATAGCTTCTTTCTCTTCATTTTCTAGGCCAGGACGAAAAGCTATAGAAATATTAGGAACATAACCAACCAATTTCAATTTCTCAATTAACTTGTCAACTTCCTGGTGGAGCTCCCTGTGCTCAATACGCGTAACCTCCCCAGAGAAGAATTCATGCATTACATTGTTAACCTCTATCGTACTACAGCCAGGAATTTTCTTAATATCTCTAACTTTCATCAATTTCCAGATATAATTCACTTCTTCCCAGTTCCCAGCTCGTGCACACATGTTTGAAAAGATCACATAATCGCCACTATGTGATTTGTCCATTTCGAAGATTTTTTCAATTACCAGCTTCCCCAAATCCACATTTCCATGACTGCTGCAAGCAGATAACAATGTCCGCCAAAGTAAAACTGTAGGCCGAATTGGCAATTCCATTAAGAACTTAAAAGCATCATTAAGGCGGCCAGCCCGAGCTAACAAATCCAACATGCATCCGTAGTGTTTCACCCCTGGTACAATCCTGTAGCTTTCTTTCATGCTATTGAAAAATCTAAAACCCTCTTCAATCAATCCACTGTGGTTGCATGCATATAATAGACCCAAAAATGTAATTCCATCAGGAGTAATTCGAGCGTTCTGCATCTCTCGAAACAAAGATATTGCACAACGAGCACGTCCATGAATAGCATAAGCCATGATCATCGCTGACCATGCTTGAGTGTCCTTATAAGTCATGCTCTCGAAAACTAAAATTGCATCAGGCAAGCTCCCACATTTTGCATACATATCAATAAGTGCAGTGTTCACCTTAACATATTGATCAAAACCATTCTTCTTAACATATTCATATACCCACTTCCCCAGTTCCAATGCTCCCAACAAAGCACATGATGAAACCACGCCTAAAATTGTAACATCAGTAGGCTTAAGTTTTTTTCCTTGCAATTCACGAAACAACAAGAGGGCCTCATTTGGCTCGCTACTTCTCACGTAACCCATTATGATCGCATTATACGTTACCACACAAGGGTCAGGTATCCTATCAAACACGCAACGAGCTGAACCATTGTCATTACACTCAATGTACATATTCATAAGTGCAGGACAAACATACATATCGTCATTAAGGCCATATTTAATCAAAAGGCAATGCAATTGCTTACCTTCTTCTAAAGCTTCTCCAGCTGCACAAGCCTTCAACAGAGAAGGGAATGTATAAAAATCAGGAGCAACACCTAATGTTAGAATTTTCAAAAACAGGACAAAGGCATTTAATGGGGTGTCACTCCGGGCATAACCACGGGCCAAGAAGTTGAATAGGACTATATCTGGTTGTGGAATTTGATCAAACAGGAGGTGGGCATGGTGCAAAGAGGCAGGTGTCGGATCAGCTGTGCAAAAATCTATGAGCTTACTCATAAAAAAGACATCATTTTGCATGTGGGTTTTTATGGAAAATGCTTGAATTTGCTTAAGGTCTCTCAAAGATTTGCATTTGGGTACAAGAGAAAAAGGGTCAATTGGTGTGAATGTGTCTTTTCTTGAATTCTTTGTAATGAAATCTCGGCATGAGAAAGTCCCTATTTCAAGTGTTGGAGCAGGAAATGCCATGGAACTAGATTTGGATTACAGTTATACAATTTTTTTGGAGGGAACAAAGTTGTTAAATTTAACGGTTTTATATTGTATACCTAAGCAGATAAAAAGAAGTGTCATTCCTATTTCGACCTTTCATTTTTCATCTTAATTATCCTTATGTCTTTTTCTTCAATTCAATATAACTTCTAATTTTTTTTTAGCAGATGCAATATTAAAGGATTTTGTTAACATAGTGCGTGAGTGTAGTATGTTAATACCCTCTCTATTTTTTAGTTTGCAAAAGTAATTTGCCAGCACAATAATTATGGATATTTTTGTTATTTATCTTTCCATTTTCTAGTTAGATGCCACGCTAACTGTGACATTTTTGTTTCCACCCATTCCTCTATACTCTATAACTAATTCACAATTTATTTTGTTTGCTGCTTCCAATAATTTGACTCACAATTCACATGTCAAATAAAGAAGTATACTCAAATATCGGGAAAAAAAATCGGAAATAATCAAATTTATAACTGGCAATTGAAAAATAACTACAATTTTAAAAGTAATCTAAATTTAACTATTTTTTTACGTAAAAATATGATATGAACAAAACCACTCTCAAAAATCCAGAAAAATTCCAGCATAATATGCTGGAGTTCGAATTTTTTACATATGAATTTCCAGTATAATATGTTAGATTCATAATGTGATAGAGTTCCAACATAATATGCGGGAATTTTAAATGGAGTAGCTCCATAATTCAGCAAATTATGCTGAAATTTTTCGTGCTAGAGTTCCAACATAATATACTATAAATATATGCAGGAGCTCCATAATCTAGCATATTATGCTGGAACTTTCCGTGTTTCAGCAAAACAGTGACTATTTTTTAATAATTTCACAAATGCCGATTATTTTTCAATTACTAGTCCGAAAACTGGCTAATCCTGTCCCTAGCATCCACTTAATCTTATGTCCGCAAAACTTCTAAAAATGGGGACAAAATTTAAACAAACAGTCCTCAAAGTACAAAAAATTGTAGAATACGATTTTTTAGGGGTCGTTTTTAACTCTTGACCCTCGTTTGTAGGGATGGCAATGGGCCAGGACGGGTTTGGATGTATGCGGGTGCGAGTTTGAGTTTTGCAGGTGTGGTACGGGGCGGTGCGAGTTGAAATATTGTTATTTAAAATTTAGGCGGTTTGCGGGTTGAGTCATGAATTGACAACATACTGCTTCGGAACATAGCAAACTTGTCCTAAACCCATTTATTTTATTGTTTTGTCCTACATTATAAAGAACTCAATCGATTTACTTTTATTGAAACTTTTTAATCCAATCTTTTAAGTATTATTTTAGTTTCTAAACATCCCATTTCTTTTTCTTGTTATACCCAAATCAAGCAATGAAAAGTAAACAATTTTCCTCCATCTTGGTATATATTCTTCCTTCCTCTTCCTTTTTAGACTTCTAGTTTTCAAATAAAATAAAAGAAACTTAAACAGGGAGTTTGCTGGAGTTTCTGGTTTTACAAAAAAAATTGCATGTACATATGAAAGTGCATGCTTCCTTCTGGTATTAATACTACAGATTTATGTTAAAGGAATTAAAATTTATTCTGACCTTCCAATTCAATTATCCAAAATGTTTGAATTCTTTGTTGGTTTATTAGTATTTAGATCATCTTATCATCTCTCTTATAGTTTAATGCATAAGAGTCCAAAAACATGAGTATTTTGTACTTAATTTCACTTTCAACTGTATCAGAACACAAAAGGATGTTACTTTGTGTAAATCGTATTTCTTGGTGAAGAGACTTGGTCCAAAAGCTAACAAAATTTAATTTTTTTTTAAAAAAAAAAATTAAACGGATCGGGCGGGTGGATGCGGGTGTAGGTGTGGGGTGGGTAAACGCAGGTGCAAATGCCATGTGGGGTGGGGCGGGGCGAAATTTTACGAGTTAAGACAGAACCTGTACCGCACCCGCACCGCTTGCCATTCCTACCCGTTTGCCTCATGGCAGAACTCCAAGGCTAAAAACTAAAAGTGTTTCCTATGGGACAAGTAAAGGGAAACACTTATTAAATTTGAAGTGCAGACGAAAATTCAAGACCATTCACTTTGAAGGTTATTTACGCATTTTACCCCAAAGTATCTTATCTGTGCAATATTTCTAGGGATCTTTATATAAATAGCCAGTCATATTCATTGTTTACTTATTCTAGCCATATACATAGATTATACATTTTTATGCATAATTTTATACATATAATACATAAATTATACATACATTAGGAATTTTTACCTCATATAGAAAACTTTTACACCTTATTTATTATAAAATAAATACCTTTTTATAAAATTATATTCTATAGCTACCTTTTAGGTTTTATAAAAAATTATGTATTTGTAGTCACTTTCTACTTTTAAGCCATTAACTACGATATGAAATATTTTTCTCTCTCATACTTTCTATTCTCTCTTTCCCAGTAATATCGGTATTGTATACAATTTTGTTAAACCCATGTTCTTTCTCCACTATCGCTCTCCCAACCCAGTATTTTTCCCACGAATACAACCATCATTATCAATTGGTTCATCTCCATCCTCTCTCTCAAGTTTCAAAATTGAGAGAGATATGTATAAGAGAGTTTCTTTACCACCGATGATAGATGAACAAATTCATACCATAGATGATATAAGAGAGTTTCCTTGCATCAACAAGAGTCGCTGAAAGTTCTCCGACAAAGTCTCTATTTCCTTTTGACTTTGACCAGACTTAAAAAATATGAATTATATTCAACAGTTTGTATTCAGCATGTTGTATATATGTATTCAGATATATCTGCAGTATGTATTCCACTGTATATTAAGCATTATGTATTCATATATATTCATGAGATTGTATTGTATGTGCTCTGCATTTTGTATTCACATGTATTCAAATATATTTAGATTATACTATATGTGTACTGCATTTTGTATTCATATGTATTCAATTATATTCAGATTGTATTGTATGATAATGCATTTTGTATTCGTATGTATTCAGCAGATTGTACTTATGTATTTAGATATAATTGCACCTGTGTATATTCATATTTATTCAAAATATAAATGCAATATATATTGAGCAGTTTACTAAATTATATGTTTACTAACTGTTCTAAAAAAAATCATCACGCACCAACAGAACTTCCATGAATGATAGCAATAAAAAAAGGAGGGATTGAAACTCTAGAGATTGCTCTATTTTGTGATAATTTTCGGCTGGGAAATCTTTTCTACGGGAAATACAGATTACGCGTGTTATAATGAGTTAGTTGAGTTATATTATGAGTCTATAGCTTTAATTGATTCACTTAACGTTTTTAAACATTTGAAAAGACCATTTTTATGCAGTTTACAATACTGTATTCACGAATACAGCTCGCGAATACAGCCGAATACAATCGTTGCTTAGTTGGACTCCCTTGTTTCACGCTGAGTTTTGTTACTGTATTCATGAATACAATAGCTTAAATACATCGAATACACTCTATAACAACTGAAAACATAGCTATAAGAAGTAATTTAGTAAATGGTAGCTATATCTAGCTAATAACCACTAAACAATAGTGGTTTGTGAAAATTTCTCAACATTATATCTCCACGGGTTATTTTTAATTTATGGGTTATTTTTAGTTGGGATTTTTACATTCCTATACCATATAGTAAACTATATTACCCTCCATGCTTAACTTTTAATATAATTACCTCTTATATACCTAATTACCATTTATGTACATTTTAGGAGTTTTAATGGTATTAATTAGTCTCCTAATTTAACTCTACCGTATATTCTCACTCCCCCTAAGTTTCTCTCTCCAAATCTCACCCCCTCACCCACGTATCAAACCACACCCCACAATTTTCTCTTCAATCACCCACTATTTCCTCTTCTCAAACCAACAAAAATCTGTAACCCCTCCGCTATTGTCAACCATTAAAAAGCTTTGAAGCTTTGAATTCGAATTTGGGTTTTCAAAAGACATTGTTTGTTTGGATTGGATGTTGTTGCAAAGAATTGAGAATTCTTTCTATGTCTCTCTCTATCTCTCAATCCCAAATTTCAGTAATATAAAGCAACGGAAAAGAGAGCAGCAATTCCACCATTGACAGCCATTAAAAAGCTTTGAAGTTTTGAATTCAAATTTGGATTATCAAAAATCATTATTTGTTTGGATTGGGTGTTTTTGCAAATAATCGGGAATATGGTTTGGAGTTTATATCTCAATTTTGAGGGGTTTTGGTGAAGATTAGACTTGGTGAAGAAGAAGAAGACATGACATACATTATATTGCAGTAGAAAAATTGTATTCTGTTGTTTATTTATTTTTCTTTTATTCATTTAACTATTGTATGAAAGTTAAACAATATTGTATAAAATTTATATTTAAGTTGTATGATATTATAGTTGTATATAACTAAGTAGAAATAATGTACGAAAATTATAGATAAGTTGTATAACATATAATTAGTTGTATGAAATTTGTTTTTACTATGTATAAATCAGATACAAAATATACAAAAGACATATTGTATAAAGTTTGTATTTAAGTTGTATGTTATTGTAGTTGTATTTTATTGTGTAGAAATAATGTGTGAAAGTTGTAGATAAATTGTAGATAAGTTGTATAATATATAATTAGTTGTATGAAATTTATTTTTACTATGTATAAATCAGATACAAAATATACCAAAGACATATTGTATAAAATTTGTATTTAAGTTATATGTTATTTTAGTTGTATTTAACTGGGTAAAACTAATGTGTGAAAGTTATAGATAAATTGTATAATATATAATTAGTTGTATGAAATTTGTTTTTACTATGTATAAATTACATACAGAATATACAAAAGACATATTGTATAAAAATTGTATTTAAGTGGTATTATATTATAGTTATATATAATTGGGTACAAATAATGTATGAAAGTTATAGATAAGTTGTATAATGTATAATTAGTTATATGAAATTTATTTTTACTATGTATAAATCTGATATAAAATATACAAAAGATATAGTTATAAAATTGTATAAAAATTGTATTTGTGTAATAAGGAATAGTGGCAAGAATAGATAAGTGGTTGAATCTGAAGCCATTTTCATCTATTTTCTTATAAAATTAAAACTTCTTTTGT